GAAAAAGATAACCAAGGGTTGTCGTCTCTTCTGGCAACTGCTTCCTCTTCAGCAGCCCTGAATAAAAGCTGTCCCTCTGTTTTAGCCGTGTCTGTAAGGCCACAGGCCATAAAGGGACTTACAAACCTACTACTTGAAGCTGCAGAATTCTATATTTAGATGGCATTGAGACTCTCAGTATTTCTCCTCAGTCCACTCCTGCTTCTGCAAGTGCACTGAGCGCTCTGATGCTCAGGTCTTTGCTACAGGCATGGGAAAATCATATGACCCCAGTCACCAGCAGTCTTGGTACTCCCACTAATGCCAATGCTCCCAGGGGACTCTTGAACAGAGGATTCCTGCACTGGAGTAGATCATTGCTGCATCCTAAAGAGAGGAATTTTACATTCAGCCCTCCTCAGGTGAGTGACTTTTGAAGGATGAGGTTAGGCTAGGCACATGGATCCACATCAAAGTTCCTATTGCAGTGGACTTGTATGAGTAGCCTAGAAATTCCCAGGGATTCTTGAATAAAACTATTAAACTATCAAACAGCAGCTCTTCTGACCCTGACATACCCACATGGGTTTTTTCCACCTGTCTCATTAATTTTCGTTTCTGAACAGAGAGAAAATGAAGCGAGGCAAAGCAAAGACCTTAGCCGGATTGTGTAACTTCATGGCAGAAAATGTGTTAGTGAAAAGACAGTTTTTCTGCTTTAAGTTGTGTTTACAAATACACTAGTGGTACCTTGTCTAGCACTGCTGACTGTCATAAAAGGAAATAATTTGGAATGGATAACACATTTTGTCTAACATAAGGTTCCTCGGTGCTCATCAGTAAAATTTGACAACACCAATAAACAATAAAAGACCTTACTATCATATTATTAAGATGTTTAACTATAGGTACAATATTAAGTTATAAATATGCTCTGTAACAGATAATAAGTGCAGCTTGTCACTCGCTGATTAGTTTGAAACTCTTTAAAAGATTTAAAATTTTTGGTGAAATTGGTGAGGAGTGTACTCAGCACATTCTGCTAGCTGAGTCAATTGAAATTGCACCTGTTCTTGGATGCAAGTCATAACAAATGCAACCCACATACATTGTAAAGGAAAGGACTTGTATGCACTTTTTCCAATTAACATCTGCCTTTTGGCAAGTCATTAACCTATTTTCTCACAAAGAAACAGCTTCAATTGTATTATCCACCCGAAGCGTGCAAAAGTCCCTGAGGGGGTACTCTGACAAAAACACTCTGTTCCTGGATCCAATGCAAACATACATATTCATTAATTGTTTGGGGCAATCAGTATAGAATTTCTGATTCCTACAAGTCTTACAAGGTAAACAGGTTACATAAAGCTATGTCCCAGGAAACAGTCACATCCCAGCTGTGTATTCAATAGAAAAATCAAGAGTGATTATATGCTATGAAATGGCAATGAAAATAATTCAGCAACACTAATAAGACTTCTAGAAAGAAAAAAGAACATTGTTTACCCTAAAAATATGACCGCATATTTATTTATTTAAATAAATATAAATAAAGATGGGAAGTGGTATGTTTCAAATTCCTCATGCTACACAGATCTGCTCAGGACATCCAAAAATGGCAGTGAGAACCTATTCTACCACAATTTTTCCTCCCTGAAATTAATTTAATCAAAATTCAAAACTACAGGCTAAGTTTCTCACCATAAAGGTGATAATTAAACAATGAAATATTATGTTACACCTGTAAAAGCAAGAAACAACAATCCCCCAAAGACAAGGGAGTTGTTCAGATACATTCACGTCCAGGAACTGGTTTTCCAAAACCCTAAGTTTATAAAAAATATGTCAACAATAGTAAAAAGTGAATACTGAATAGTGAAGAGTTGTGGAGAATGTAGTGGTGTGTTTAAAAAAAAAAAGAAAAGTCAATTAAGAAATTAAACAACCTCCAAAAAAATAATAATAAAGAAAACCCAGAATACAGTTTGAGTTGTCAGGTTGGTCCATAAAGCACAATGGGTTATTGGCATAACTGATGTCTCTGTCTGATTTTCTCTTGGTATTTGAGAAACTATATTCAGATCAAAAGAAAAAGTGAAATGCTTTAAGGTATAGCATTGCAACATTTTGCCATTTGGTGTTCACCCCCACAGTTATACTTAGGAACCTCTAAATGTGCTCACAAAGGAAATACCTACTGCCATCCAAAACGAAAAACTGAGAAAAATACCTTTATTGCCTCAACATCATAATTTATGCACTAGCCAAGAAAAAATTCCATTAAACTCCACTAAATTTTGATGGGAATTACAAATAAAATTTAAGACACCGTAACAACTGGCATAATTTCTTTCAATTTGGAAGAGCATTTTTGGTTCAAAATGTCTGCAGAAGTGCATTGTAAAGAGTTGCTGAGTTACTGCATAGTGCTTTGACACTAAAGGAATTTGAAGTTGGGTTCCTCCAGAGACAGTCTCCCAGCAACGACAGCAGGAGAGGTTATTCCTGCTGCCACCTTCTCTCTCTCACCACACAAACCTTGGGGATCATTCACACACGGGTGGTTATTCTTTTTAATAAGTAATTGAGCCATTTCTGCAGTAGTTGGCCTAAATGCTGGAAGCAGTCTTTCTCCAACAGTCTGGCCTATTTACATTTACTATCAGAGGCATAATTTAAGTTTCAGGAAAGCTGTACTACATCAGGTACAGGGTTCAGCTTGTTTAGAATACACATGGGTTCTCAGTACTTCACTGCAGACATAGATACAATACAGTGTATTGTATCTATACAATATGCATATATAATTTTCATAATTTATAGACCCATGAAATTATTTTTCCCCATGGGGCAAAAGAACAACCAAGGCTAAATAGCAGTAATTTTCTTCTAGTTTTATAATTCAAATTAGTCAAGTCACCAGTTATTTGACAGAGTACAAACCCCAAAATAAGTGTTTCTGAGAGTTCAACCAGCCTCTTCAGGTGTTTTTAAAGGAAGCTTTTCTATTCTGTAACTTTATTTGAAATTATATGGATCAAGAGAACAAGATAACTAGCCCACATCAGTGTTTCTTTAAAAGAAACGTCATGTTTGCTGTTTGTGGCTGTGTTTTAGGAGAGCCATCATAGCTTGAGGAAAATATATCTGTCCTGTTCTCAACCAACCACGACTAGTTATACACAAATCACAAGTGTCATGCATGTTGAGTTCCAATATCAACAGACTGTCCGACTGAACGACAAGAATATGTCTTAATTTCGAACTGTTATGTTAGTTCACCAGATTCACAAACAGCAGAGAAATAAACTGGATTAAGTAGTGAATGCTCCAGAGAACAGGTACTGAAAAGGAAGAAAGAACAGTGATAGGAGCTAAGGCAGAAAAGAAAATTTCAGCAGAGATTTTATTAAAAAATACAGAAGTAAAACAAATATCCAAATCTGGTTGATAAATAATCCAGAAAAACCTTAAAAAAAACCCCTCTACAGATTTAAAACATATATATAGTCCACTAAGAAAGAAAAAGAAACAAGCAAAAAAATTTAATAGCTACATGGTTTTGTGTCTTCTAATGGAGACAAGAACAGGAAAAGACTACAAGAGCATTTGCAAATGCAAAATGCAAAGTACATTTGATCTAAAAGACAGCATTTACATAACTGTGTGTTATATAGTATTATAAACAATTGCATAATCAAAGGTCAGGTTGAAATATATAAGATCATTCTTTCACAAAAAATCTGTGGCTAGAATGCTGCATAAAGATAATTGTACCCCAAATTTTTATAAGAAACTGCTTGTTTGCCATAAACAGTAGTACTTATGACTGAGCTGAAAATATGTAGCACCTGTTGGTAAAATTCAGAGTTTACCAAGAAAGTGAGGTGATGTCCGGCTATCTGAAGGTGGTTACTAAGAAAAAAAAGTTATACAAGAAAAATTGACTGCACATTTCTGTGGCGTGAACTGCAATAGTATTTTCACAGGGAGCTTCTGTACCTAAGCTGAACTCCATTGATGTTAATGAGGTTCAGCCTGGGAAATGAGCTTTATCTATATATTGGATTAAAATATCCCCCCCATTTAAACTGTCTCATTTTTCAACATATATGTGAAGGTGCAGAAATTGGATGGCTACCTAGGTTTGACTACGGATTTACAACAGGTGTTCTGCAATTGCCATTTAAAAAATAATACATAGACATAAGGAAATTAGATGTTTTCCATTAAAAAATAAACCTAAAATCATCTAAGATTTGCATTTTTATTAAAAATAAAACCCAAATCAACATACACTGAGAAGTCTTTCCTGACTTATATCTGCGTTCATAATGCATTACCTGATGGGGGACAACCATAGCATGCAAAGCTTGAGCATATGTGGACTTGCTTGTAGGGCAAGAATCTATTGTAGCTATGACCTAGATTTTTTAAGATTTTGTGTATGATTCAAATATATTCTTCAGAAGTATGAAGTTGATTTTGACTTTTCTAAATAGGAAAAATTACTTTTGATGGGAATGAGATAAGCAGAATGCATCAGTTTTGCAGCTGAATTCGCACAGATGCTTCAAAGTTTAAGTGACTGAATTTTCATATTTGTGACTAAAAGTTTTCATAGTACCTCTTCTTGCAATCATTACTAAAATGTTTAGAAGATATAGAATAACTCGCTATTTTTTGGGAAAATACTTGAGTATGTAACGGGACAAAGAAAACCTCTGGTATTTTTTGAGTTAGGTCTTATTTAATTTAGGTGTTTGAGTAATGTTGCCTTAGCACAAAGAATATTATTTTCACAACCCTTGCCCAAGTTTAAAAACCTGCATAGTGGACTTCCATAACAACTGCTATTCATCTAAAAATATGTAGTTAGTGGCTTAGTTACATTCAAAGATCTTGTTAGGTTGAAATAAGAGTCCTGTAACAGTCAATGTAAATGATTTTAGAAAATGTTACATTTTGATTGTGCTACACTTCATTAAATATATATGCAGAATATCTGCTTGCCACAACTGTTTAAAATTTTCTTTTTTTAATTTCTTCAGTTTTTATTACATTGATTTGATGTTTTTGCTTATAGTAAAATCCAATGCAGAAACATATTCACCAATATAGTTAATTTTCAGCTTTTATTTGTCCTGTCTTCCCTGAAGTAATACTTGCTGATCTTCTAAGCATTCTTTCAATTTATCTTCAGCTGAAGTCAGACGGTGTTCCAAGACTGAAACTGTCTGCATGAAGAGGACAGTAATTTCAACTGGTTTTCTATTACTCACACAGTATTATAAAAGTGTACAACATAATACCATAAGAAAAGTAATTTTAACTCAGTAGGGAAAAAAAAATATCATAAAATGGCTTCTCCTTAGCTATTCCACTATTTATAACTGTATTTAAAAATTATGGCTTGGTATCCACGGAGATTGTCTAAAGGTTTCTAATTGTTTCACAAAATATTTTCACAATTTTCACAAATTTCTCTGAGAGAGAGAAATACATACATGCATAATATAAATTACTCTGAAATACTATGTAAAAGTTGCATCCATATTTCAGTAGAAAAACAGTCATCACTGATGACCTCAAATGATTTTTTCCAAAAACCTAAAAGAAACTTTTAAGGTATCTCCAAAAAAAAAAGGAAGTGAGAAAAAAATATACTATTAAAAGGCATTCTCTAAGAGATATTTTCATCAGAAAAGGTAGTTTTTTGGACGCAGGCTGACAGTTTCTTTTTAATCCAATTTAGCACACAAATAATTTTCAACTGATGACTCCATACTTCCAAAAACCTATTTTTTCAATTAACATATGTATTGCAAAAGAACACAAAACAAAAAAAACCTCTTAGCTGCTCTCTTTTTAGTTGGTTTAATGTTAATATATTACAGACTACAGAGTAATATCTTAAAACATGGGCTGACTAAATCTGTCATTACTAAAAAGTATTGAGCATTTGCAAACAAGTGACTCAGAGTCACTGAGACTAGTATTTGTGCAGTTTCACTGACACTAGGAATTATTCCACTGCTTAGATTCCTACCTAAGCCAACACCTTGAGCACTACGTTTGAAAAGGGATTTAATGGTACATTGGTAATTTATTTTGTTCATCCCCTGCTAGTACATGATTGTTCAGGTTGGAATCTGACAATGTCTGCTAAATAACTGGCTTCTGACAAATCTATGCTAGATTTCACTACTGAAAAATAGTGATTCTGTCCCTTCAGAGTTAAAAGTGCAACAATCTTTATGATTATGTATCAGGAAGCTTTCACTTTAGCAAACACAATACATGCGATCAATATTTGCTGAAAGGAAAACACCCAAACAGTCAGTTGACTATATAACTGTTCAAAATAACCTCACAGTCTTTACTGTTCTGATTTATTAACACAGTTCCTGGGGTTTTTTGCCCATTGACAGCATTGTCATTTTCCACTGCAAGTGTTATCTGTTATTGCATACTTACTAGAGTTAACACATCCAGCTGTCCCACAATGTGCTCCAAAGCACTGTCCAGGGAGGGGGAGATGCCTGTTTGCTTCTCCTCATTATGCACAGCTGATCTGCTCTCATTCTCTGATTTCCTTTTTGAACTTCTTGCCAAGACTGAAGCAGGGGGCCGGTGCAGCGCTTCAGTTTTGCCATCACCCTTTAACACAGAAACACCATTTGAAGATTCAGCTGGTTTTATCCTCATTTAAGTAGAATCATCCAATAAGATAGGTAGAAAAGTCTGGCTTTTAATTTAAAAAAAACAAACATCTATTTACACATATATGCACACACACAAGGGCCTTCAGATTTGCTTTTTGTACAAGGTCCAATTCATAACACTTCAATTTGCTCTGACCTAAGAGAGAATTCCAGCTGTGATGGATGAGGCAATAAGGGTAATTTCAGCAGTCTTTAGGTACATATTTCAGGTACATATGATTGAGGAACTACATGCTGTACCACTCGTGTTTGAATTAAAGCTCAAATTAATATAATTGCTGAGGGGTGTCTTCTTCAAAAAGATAGGTTGACAAAGGAATTCACTCAGAGCAGTCATATGGATGAAAAATTCGTATGTGATTAGAAGATCACAAGGGTTCCTTCCAACTTCACAGTATGAAACCTTTGTTTAGTTTGAATTAACCTCTTACTTCAGCATAAAAGGTAGTTTTTAGTTGTTTATTCAGTGACATTACTTGTTGAGAAACTGATTCCTTCAGAAAATGGGAGAAGGAAACAACAGAAAAGACCCACACAATGTAAAGTTGAGAGAAATAACTTTGATGTATAAACATTGCTCCAGGGTGACAGAGCATGAACTTTCCAATCACTTTGGTTTTGTCTGTGCCTTGAAGTTCTTAATGGTATTTTTGAGTCATAAAAGATTAAATCATCACTAATTCATTAGAAGCTCCCTCACAACAACTTTACTTGATTTATTAATGACTTTCTGAGACTTCTTCGAAAACTTCTTCTACCTTCAGATAATTTTAGTTTATTTTTACACTGAAGTAAATTGAGGTAGTTAATATTTATTTCTAATTATATTACAAATATCCACATTTACAAAATAAACCTTTTAAATGCTTCTTCCCTCATCACTTTGGGCTTCCCTCAACAGATCCAGACTGCAACCATCACTTTGACAAGACTGGGACTCTCACCACCAGGGAGATCACAGGAAGAGGATCAACAGGATGATCAGAATCCATGGAGTGGTGATATTTTTTCTACTTAATCTGTCTCTCTGTCACTCTCTTTCTCTCCCTCAAATCTCTGTTTTCATCTCTTTCCATCTCTCTTTACCTCACATTTACTGTACTAAATAAAATCTGTACTATTGACTCTGGTATATGGTCTTGTTTGCACCTTAATTTGGGCAGAGACATCTCTCTAATAAGAACCTGATCATACCAATGTCAATGAGAAAAAGCAAAGCAAGAGACAAGTTGTACCCACCATCTACCTGGAATGGCTTTTTGTTCTACTTGCAGAGCACCAGAGCAAACCACAAATGCCACAAACAAGAGTTAGTAGAAGACCATGGGTCTAGGGTGGGGAACGGCTGAAAACAGAGACTGTGGTAAGAGGTAAAGAAGAGAGTCTTATCACCCTCTCTGGGTTAAAAGTTCCACTGCAGAGTTAAGTTCTGCAAGGACACATCTCAAGCCCCCAAGCAAGAACCCATGAAGTGCAGAGCATAGGGTTGATAGGGACAGGACTAGAGATACATCTACAAATACTTCAGACCTTAACTTACAACGCTACAAAACCACATGGAACCCTTCTCAAGGTTTGATAGCACCACGGTATTTTCTGGTATCACTTCCATTGATTTCAATATGAAGAAATAAACAGATAAAATAACAAGAAGATACCTCCAGTTTCCTTTCAGCTCTCCTTTCTGTGCTTAATAACTGATTTAGGCAAATGAACTAGGTATGTCAAATAATAAATGGTTGATGCAACTAATACTGAAATACATCAGTGATGTGCATTGACACTGGGTTGCATTAAAAAATAAAAAAGCGTGCTAGACATCAAACTACAGATTTCAAACATTAATCATCCAAGGTTGTTCCACAAAATGCTGGAATGGTTATAACATTTGCACTGGACTACAGAGAACTGGCCTTGTTAGTCCAAGTCTACTTAAACTCATGACTCATAGAGCAATGCCTTGTCAGCCAGGTTGTTGCCTTTTAAAAGCATGAAACTGTGGAAAAAAGGGTACTCTCTCCAGCCATGCTGTTCAAGTTTTGTCACTGGTCAACAGAAAGCTTTACTTCAATGGTTAGAATGCTCAGTCAGGAGCAAGTAAGTCCTGCTCTTGTGAGAGGGCTTTATATTTTATATACATAAGGGGATAAAATAAATAAAAACTCCATAGGAGAAAGGATATGAAACCAGAAGCTTCCCACTCCTAACTAGATGGTTTAATTACATCTTTCTCTCCAATACCATGAATTTAATTTTCTTCTCAATATGAAAAATTTTGTTATGTCAACTTCAAATTACTCCAAAGAGTTGTATACTGTGGAGTCACTTGTTAGCACAAAATGAAATAGAATACAACTGGCTTGATTTTTGGACAAGGTAGGCAGAGAATGAATTTCTGATTTAATTTTATTTTGCTTTAGCCCCTGTGTTGTGTGGGTAAGATCCAGGTTGGAAAACAAGTCTTCCCAGACACCAGTGTAAATAAACTCATTGTAAATAAACCTAGTATCATTTGTCTAACGTTAACAAAGCTACTTACAGGAATGTTTTGGGAAGTACATTCATTTTCTTGCCTTTGAATGATACAAGTAACTAATTATCACAGTCAAAACAGATGTAACTTGAAGTAAACTTCAACTGATACTCTCTGACTTTGCTTAAAGGCATTGTGCTTTGCAAATTCAGTGTACAAAGGATAATCTATCAATCTTCAAGTACTCAAAATTAATAAAAACAGCTTTAACATTCAATGGCACTTAAATTTAAAAATTGTTGATATTTGAAGTATTATGATTTAAAATTAATTTAAATGAATGGAGCAGGAGAGGAAAACAATTTGAGGTTATTAGACTGCCAAGTTCTAAAAACACTTCTACTCTGAGGCTGGTCTGTCTCAGTTTCTTTTCAAACAACATTGCTGCACTCATAATGAAAATAGAGATTTCAGCTTAAGCTCCCACAAAGTGATTACAAATTTTGCTCTTAAACCCAACCTAAACAGATTCTTCCAGCTCAAGGAGGAAAGCTGTCAATTCAGTAAACAGAGGAAATGCTAAGCTAGTAAAAATCTCACCAAACACTTTTTTCTTACAGTAAAATTGATCCAAAATTCAATGTATTGGACAAATAGGCTGTAAAAGAATGCTTTGTATCTTGGTAAACTGCCACTAACATTGCAAGTCAGAGTAGTAGAAAAGTCTTCTTGTAAAAGTCGTCTTGAGATTCTTCTGTTACATTCTCAAAGACTTATGAGCAGTATGCAACATGAAAATACTTACAGAAGTAAGACAAAGACCTTGATGTTTGTCAAAACTCAAAGTATCAAACACAGACAAGCAAATAATGAACTGAATTCTAAACTTTCAAAATTTGTAAGAGGGAAATGAAATGAGACCACTTCAAATTTTCAACTTATCTAACTTGTGTCCAAACAGAGTTCCTTTACATTTGGATACCAATCAGTTCACATCCAACACTTTCATTCAGCATAATATTTCATTTTTAAAAAGTTCTTTTTATAGAAAGTTTTTTCTATCCACAGCCTATTCACATGAAGTGTTTTAAGAACTAGATATTGCCTTTCTTTCAAATACCCCCCTTTACTTTAAATACTTTGAATACAATTCATAAACAACAATTCTATATGGTGCCAGCAATGTAGTAAAAAGTCTCATAATTCAAAAAAAATAAACTATTCTGAGAGACATCAGAACTATAGCTTATTTTGAGAGAATAAATTTTTATAAGGCAATCAATTTTAAATTGTTACTTCTGAGCAAAGCTAAGAAGAAAATTAAAATGTGCACAGTCTTTCCACTCACAGCCCGTTAGTAATAACATGAAATCACATTTGGGCAACTTCATGCAAGTTACAAATAAGGAGAAGGAACAGATTTAATAAATCAATAGGAAGTCATTACCATGACATTACCAGCGGATGTTCAGCAGAAAATTAAATTTAGCTTATAAATGATGTCACAAACAGCAAGTCATAATTGCTCATATTTGTTTTCTGTCAAGCAAAATAGCCAAAACTCTGTGGGTGGTACTTGATCAATTTGTGAAAAATCCTTACACATAACCTTATCACCTCTGCCTGTTCCCAAATGTTTTCCCATGAAACATTCACAGAGCAGATAGAAATAAACACTGCATCCCAGTCTCCCTTTGCTTCATGACGGTTAAGAATAGAATCTGAGTAAATTGCATCCATTTACATAAAGATGCCTGAGCAGTTTTATTTATAGAGATAAAAAATTCCCGCAAGTGAAAAAAAAAATAAAATAAAAGCCTCTGTCACTCAATTGGATATCAACAGTCTTCAATCTTGTAAGAGCTACAAATTTGGAAAATACAGACAACAGCTTCCAAAAGCATATCTAAATGATCTCATAATTAAGATGGGCTTATATGAAAAAGTGACATTGGTAAGCTTCCAAATGAATCACAAAAACTGGCGTGGTCTACTTTTTAAAAATAATCTTTTAAATTGTGAACACATGGTACATTTGTCTACCAATACTGAAACATTTCTGATACTGTGATTAAAACAACTAAAAACAATTAGTCATCAGTAGGGCATGAAGCTCAAATAGACCAAAGAGCAAAGGCATAACAGAGTAGTCTCCCACCTTATCAGACCTTGATTTCCTGTGTCTTTTGGTTATTAGAAATCATGGGAAGTTTCTCAGAAGTAATAGTACTATCATTATCACTGCTTTTTTCCTCCTCTTGTGAACCTCCCCTCGAGCAAAAATGGTTCACTGTGGATATGCTAAATTTAACTGTTCGGGATTTGGTTTTTTCTCTGTTTTTGCTTGTTTGTTTGTTTTATTGTTGTTTTTGTAGGCCATAATTATTCACAGATCACGTCTATGGCTCTGAAATTATTTTTTTCAGTCAATGAGTGGCTCACATAAAACAGAGTCTCTGGCC